GCCTCCTCGTTGATGCCCGAGTCTTGCTCGCTCCTCTCAGTGAGCTCCTCCTCCTCCTCCTTCTCACAGAGCTGCAGGAGACACAGGCTGGGCGGCCTCGGCGGCACCGCAGGCCTGGCCCGGCCCGGGCATCCCCCCAGCACGGACACAGCCGTGGCCCTGGTCCAGGGAGAGCCACCGGGGAACCACAGCGCAGGGGGACACACTGCATGGGGGGGTTGGCATGGGGACACACTGGATGGAGACATCCGAAGGGAATGTTGGACAGGGAGATGTTGGATGGGGAGATGTTGGATGAGGGCATTGGATGGAGATGTTGGATGGAGACATTGGATGGGAGGCTGTTGGACGGGGACACTGGATAGAGATGGATGGAGATGTTGGACGGGCATGTTGGATGGGACTTTGGACAGGGATGCTGGATGGAGGCACTGGAGACGGAGACCATGAACAGGGAAGCACTGGATGGGAGAAGCATTGCAAGGAGATGGATAGAGGTGTTGGATGTGGAGGCACAGGATGGAGAACTGTTGGATGGAGACATTGGACGGGGAAGTTGGACAGAGTGCTCTGGAGGGAGACGTTGGATCAAGATGTTGGACGGAGAGATGCTTTAATTGGTAGTTGGGCGGTGACATTGGAAGGGGAGGTGTTGGAGATGCTGGATGGAGATGCTGGGGACGCTGGATGGGGAGACGCTGGATGGTGAAACACTGGATGGTGAAAATGATGGGGGAAGAGGTCAGATGGAGACCTGGGATGAGGACATCAGATGGGGAGATGTCGGAGGGGAATGCTGGATGGGGCGGTGGTGGATGGAGGTGTTGGCTGGGGACACATCTTCTGTTTTACCACCTTTCACAGGTTATTTCACCTTTTTAGCAGAAAATAACCCAAGAAATGTACCTGCTCTTCCCCCTTTCGCACCAGGTTGAGTAACATCCAAACGGGTTAAATTCAGTAGATTTTGGGGCACCTTTGCAGCCCTCCCACCACCCCAAATGCAGCCGTTCACAGCATGAACTCACTGCAACAAAGAAAACGCTATTTTCTACCCCCAAAAATCCACCACCTCACCCCCGGCGTGGGGGCAAACTGGCAAAGACCGGATTGCCAAACTCGGTCTTGCCTGGTTCAGGGCGTTTTCCTCCTAAAATGCGGACACCCACCGCGTCGGTGCTGTGGCACCCCAAAAATACCATTTTGGGGTAATTTGCAGTGCCCTGATGGTGACCGAGCCTTGGGGCTGATGGACAGCTGTCAAGCATCGCTGGGGGTCATGCAGGGACCAAGGGGGTTTTGGGAGCCAAGGAGGGGGCCACAGCTGTACCTGGGGGTCGGTGCCGTCGGGGGCCTCGGCCCCGGGGAGCAGCCAGGGCCGGGGGGAGCCCCGGGGGGCGAAGCTGTCGGTGAGGGCATCCCAGACCCTGCAGGGAGGCAAGTGGTGAGCAGTCATCCCCAAAATGTCGCCTCCCAGAAAGCTGTCACAAAACTCCTCGAAACACCCCAAAATGCAGCCCCAGAGACACCCTGAAATGACCCTAGATACTGCCTGGAAAAATCCCCAAATGCTACTGAGATGCCTGAAATATCCCAAAACACCCCAAACGCTGCCTTGGAAGACCCCAAACGCTGGCCTAGAAGACCCCAAATGCTGCCTTGGAAGACCCCAAATGCTGCCCTAGAAGACCCCAAACGCTGCCTTGGAAGACCCCAAAGCTTCTCAAAATATCATACTGAAATACTGCCCTGAAATACCCCAAAGTACCCCAAAACGCTGCCCCATCACTTGAGATGCCCTGCAAACACTGCCATCAAAACACCCCCAAAAAGGCCACCGCAATGTTCCAAAATGTCCCCAAATGTCCCCAAATGCCCCCCCCCAAACATCACCGTGATCTCCTGAAATGCCCCCAAATGTCCTGAAATATCCCCAGAAACATCCCCCAAATGCCCCAAAGGACTCCTGAAAGGCCCCAAACCACCTCCAAACGCTGCCCTGAACACCCCAAAATGTCCCCAAATGTTCTGCAACCCCCCAAAGCTCTAAAATGCCCTGAAATGCCCCAAAATGCCATCCTGAACCATCTAAAAATGCCCCAAAAAGCCACAAGAGGGCATCCCAGACCCTGCAGGGAGGCAAGTGGTGAGCAGTCATCCCCAAAATGTCGCCTCCCAGAAAGCTGTCACAAAACTCCTCGAAACACCCCAAAATGCAGCCCCAGAGACACCCTGAAATGACCCTAGATACTGCCTGGAAAAATCCCCAAATGCTACTGAGATGCCTGAAATATCCCAAAACACCCCAAACGCTGCCTTGGAAGACCCCAAACGCTGGCCTAGAAGACCCCAAATGCTGCCTTGGAAGACCGCAAACGCTGGCCTAGAAGACCCCAAATGCTGCCTTGGAAGACCCCAAATGCTGCCCTAGAAGACCCCAAACGCTGCCTTGGAAGACCCCAAAGCTTCTCAAAATATCATACTGAAATACTGCCCTGAAATACCCCAAAGTACCCCAAAACGCTGCCCCATCACTTGAGATGCCCTGCAAACACTGCCATCAAAACACCCCCAAAAAGGCCACCGCAATGTTCCAAAATGTCCCCAAATGTCCCCAAATGCCCCCCCCCAAACATCACCGTGATCTCCTGAAATGCCCCCAAATGTCCTGAAATATCCCCAGAAACATCCCCCAAATGCCCCAAAGGACTCCTGAAAGGCCCCAAACCACCTCCAAACGCTGCCCTGAACACCCCAAAATGTCCCCAAATGTTCTGCAACCCCCCAAAGCTCTAAAATGCCCTGAAATGCCCCAAAATGCCATCCTGAACCATCTAAAAATGCCCCAAAAAGCCACAACACCCTGAAATGCTCCAAACCAGCACCCCCAAGAAACCCCCCAATACCCCAAAGTGCTAGAAACCACCCCAAAACACCACTGGGAAAGACCCCAAAATGCTGTCCCGAAACATTGCCCAGAACCGCCCTGAAATGCCTCAAAAAGCCGCCCCGATGCCCCACAGAACCCCCCAAAATGCCACGGTGATGCTCTAGAAGACTCCCCCACTTCCGACACCCCAAACCGCTTCTGCAATGCCCAAAATGCCTCAAAACTCCCCAAAATGCTGCCCTGGAACATGCTGAAATGCCCCAAAATGCAGCCACAGCACCCCAAAATGCCACCCTGAAACAGCCCAAACCTGCCCTGAACCCCCCCAAACTTCCCCAACCCCCCCCCCAAAACT